TTTCACGTCATTAGCACCTCTAGTAATATATTTATTGAGAAAAATGGTGACGTGTTCAATACTTATTTTACCCGCTGTATATAATAATAATAATAATAATAATAAACGTTAAATAAAAGGATTACACCACAAAAAAGAACCAATCATGACAAAGTTAAATCAGGAATTCCAAAAAGTGAACAAGACATTGTAATTTTTTTGCCCTCTGATTAGTAGAGAAGTGAGTAGATTGCATATATTGTGTAAACTCAGTCATGAAGCAGATAAAATTTCTTTCTTACTTTAAACATTTGCTTTTATGTATATGAAATTTGGCCTCACAGCAACCGGTAGCTACCGGTGTTTAATGATGTAACCCGTACTGTCCCAATTCTCAATTGTTTTGCACGCTTGTAACCTGAGCACTCGAACACTTTTGTACACTTCAACTGAATCCACACTTCACAGAGGGGCGTAGGGTGCGCACTGAGCATTGGGACTGGGCCTAAGTCCTGCAGCTTTGTGACCTCTGCTCCTTGTAGCWTGATTGTTCCACCTTTTGCCCTTTCATGATTTCAACATGCCTGATGATTTGGTAAAATCACACATGGATTCAGTCAAATACTTACTTTAGCAAAACGGTGTCACCCAAGTTGTAGTTTTGTGGTGTCATATCCTCAACGATTGAAAAACTTAATTATGTAACCTTCCAGGAGATATGAGAGATGCAAAGGGACAATGGTTTGTGATAATCTGATAATCTGACTATCTCAACCTGTAAAACTTCATCACAGTAAAATGCTCAAGGTTTTGCAAGCAGGCTGTCCTTTTTTTTTGTTTCCAGCTGGTACTGAAACTCTTGTCTTTTAATGTCAGTCTTAAGTATTTAATTTCACCATTGTATGTTTTATGGACACATTCAATCAAGAGAAAGACCTTTAAGTTTATTTTCWAATCTTTCTTCACTCTTTCTAAAGTTCGGACACCACCCCACTACTAAACAACTCTACCCAGGACAGGATGTTTGACACCATGTCTGTTGAGATCGAACAGCTTCTAGCGAAGGTGAGTAAATTCTTTCCTTTTTTTTTTTATTTTTTTATTTTTTTAGTCCAGGAACAAAATTTGGAGGGAACGCTATCAGACAATCCTAAATTTATGCATTTAATGAGATGGAGGACAATAGGGATCACTCCTTCAAAATGTTTGAGTAACCTTGTGTTTGATTTAGAAAGAAGCAGGCAAACAAAATAAAAGACAAACAAAAGTAATAAGTGAAATTAAATCTAGTCCTAATACTTTGTGATTTCTTTCTTCCATCTGTCCCTTCTCACATCTCCAATGTATTGATCAGCTGACAGCAGTGAACGATAAGATGGCAGAGTACACCAACACCCCGGGAACAGCTTCTCTGAACTCTGCACTCATGCACACTCTCCAGAGACACAGAGACATCCTGCAGGTCTGATCAACAAATCACCACAGATTGTTTTTTTTTTTCTTCTTACTCATCTCTTTTTGTATTGTGTTGTATTTTTTTGTTGTAACGTTTTGTATTTTCGTGTTTTATTTTTATTTTTTTCAAAGCGCTACATGCTAAATGTATCTGTTTCTGTGTTGTCTTCTTGATTCTTACTGTTCAGGATTACACACAAGAATTCCACAAAACCAAAGGCAACTTCTTGGCCATCCGGGAAAGGGAAGACCTTTTAGGTTCTGTCAGAAAAGACATAGAGTGAGTAACCATACATTGATTTACGGCTTCCTCACATTTCCAAAGAGAAACAAATTAGATTTTGGAACAATTAGATGCTAAATTAAGGTTGATGTGTGATAAATGAATGGTCATATATAAGCAGACAGTCTGTTTTAATCTTATTTATATTTATACAACATATAAAAATTATAATCCTGTCTTGTAAACACTTTTTCTGATCATGTTGTGGAAAACTGACCTGACTGCACATGACTTCTGACTTTCATTCACTGGTTACAGAACGTTCAAGGATGTTTATTTCCTCCCGCTCTCTCATCCAGTAAAGAAGGAAGACAAACAGCAAACCAACATATGCTGTTTGTCTTCACCTGTAAGCTCAGTCAGGGAGTGCAGTAACATCTCCACAGTTATTAAAACATGGTGCAGGTTCATTCTGGGCGCTCTGAAGGCACAGAACATTTGTTAGTAGAATTTCTTCTGGTTTATTTTTATTATTTTTTTTTAGGGAAAGTTTACAACTCTGCCCATGTCAGTACTTCTATTCAGAATAAAAGCCTGATGCATGTAAACACTCGTCATGATTGGATCTATTAAATAAATTTGCACAAGTAAACAGTTTAAAAACTGTCAAATATTTTTCAAAGAGTTGATAGGTTGTAGACACTTAATATTTGCCTTTCACTTGGAAAATGCTCACTTTTGAAACCTTTGAAAATTGAAAGCCTTTTTAAGTATTCAAATGAGCTGGAGGCTCCCACAGACGAGGACTGGTGTTTTTTCTTGTTTTTGTAATGGTATATTGATTTAAGTTGCAGCAGTACGCTTACAGTGAATGCTGCAGGATCCCCATCGATTGTGCTCCATCTATTCAGGATCCAAACGTCTGCACAGGCCTGACACACACCTTTTATTCTGCAGTTAGCCACTCATTGCTACATTTAAAGTATTTGTTTTAAGTAAGCTTATTTAAAATAATGGCGTGTCAAGTTCTTGAAGAGCTGAGGCTTCTGTACAGAATTATTTTATGTCTGTAGTGAAAATATGTTCTAGTGGGGTATTGCAGATGTATTCAGTTTGCAAATGTAAAACCTGTGGTGGAATTTGGGAAATTATTGTGGACTCTAGAATCAAACAAAAGAAATGTTTTTTATGGAGATTTAAATAAAATAAATAAAGCATTATAGCAGGTCACAGGTTCAACAAACTGCAGAGTGTCTGCACTTGGTGCAATGGTCAAAAAGCAGGAAGTCTTTAAACCTCGGGGGCTGGTGATTTGGGTTGATTCAGATCCAAGAGTCAATCTTCTTTCAGGAAGTGTTTGTGATTAGAGCGTGCACAAATCTTAGAGCCAATCAACTGGCAYGGGCTTCATGACCAAAGTTTCTTTGATTAGACAACAGAAGGAGCCAGATAAAAATGACTTTATGATTCAGTAATCAAAATGAAACTTCTTCATCTGTCAGGAGCCATGACTCTTTTAAATTCACATATGTGCCATCATCCTTTTGATAACATAATATGAAATGATGTTATGATCACATATTACAGTCACAAAATATTATTCGAAATCAGTAACATAATAGGATTTTTCATCCACAATTCATTGTTAGTTCTGGGGTTTCACATGTCCATCCATTCTTCTATCTATCCCTCCGTCTGTTCAATCATCCATCCCAGAGCTGTGTCAGAGCTGTGCTGCTTCTTCATGGTTTTARGAGCTCACCGTGGGCCATGTGCTCACATTAATTGTTTTTTTCATAATTTTATGTGCATTTTGAAGTGTTAGAAGTTCTTAGAATTAAAAACAGGGAAAAGTTCTTTGTCGCCACAATAAAACATAGAAAACTGTTGTTTTTCTTATTCTAATAAAAGCTGTCCATTTTAACTTTTATTAATTGATTTAAAAAATGCAGATGTAAAAGTATTTAGCGCTGTAATTATTTCTCTGTAGTCCTGTGGACGTGATTTTTGTTGCAGTAGCTTTTTGTCAGGCAGAGGGCAGTGTGGATCTTAGCAATTAGTGAAACATGGTCCAGAATGAGGGTGGTTTRTGCTGCGCAAATAGAAAATTGTACAAAAATTAAAAGAATCTGCAGCACACACCAACTTATGAACACAAATGTAACAATAGGACGTCTTGCATATGATTAAAACCTTTCTTAACACCTTAGTGAGCTCTCAGATCATTGTTTGATCACACACACACCCCCTGTATGCAGCCGCACCGTTCATACAACAGGAGGAGCAGAGCCTTGTGCTGCTTTGATTCTAAATGTCGACAACAAAAATGACAACTAGCCTGTGATTTACATCAGTGCCCTTTTAAAAAGCCTTTCTACACTGATGCTGGTGGTTCTGGTCCAGCCCAGCTGCTGGGGTAACCAACCGAAACTCACTGCAACTCCTGTGTGTGCATTGTATACAGAATTGTGGTTTTTCTGTTTTTTATTTATATTATTCATAGGCTTTTAACGGCATTCTCAGGATGAAGGCACATTTATTGTTGCTGTCATCTGGGTAGGGTAGGATGTTAATGGTGTATATGTGTGCACAGCTCTCCCTCCCTCTGTGCTCTTTATCTCACTCTCACCCGACGAGCAGGCGGGGCTGTGTTAAATGGCCACGAGAGTGCGTCACATTCAGCTGTTTAGAGACGCTGATAGCTGGAGTTGCACCAGTTGGAAGACAATGAGTGTGTTCATTATCTTTACTCCCGTAAAGGTTGTTATTGAGGAAAAACGGTTTTATTTAAGCTCCATTAATCAGAGATTGCTGGGAACCATCAGCTGTTGGGTTTATTTATGGTCCATTTGTAATTTTTGGTGACAAAAAGAGATTAGAACTGAGTAGTTAGTTTATTTATTTTTTGAGCATCATAAACGTAATTCTCTTTGACCCTGCAGTTTGTGCAGTGATACAAACTATTGAAGCTCAGCAGTTAATCTAGTGCCTCTTGTCAGGGGACCAGATGAATTATCCTCAGTTTGCATGAAGCAGCAAAGCCTTACCACATCACTACTGGGGAAAAAAATAAAAGGTGGTGATATTAAAAGATACAAGAGTAGCTGTTTAGAGGACACTTTGCCCTGGCTGTGTGACTCTGATGCCCACTGAGGTTAAAAAAATACTCTGAATATTTAGCTTTTTTATCTGAAAACTTGACATTCCTCTCAATGTAATTAAAGAATTATTCTTTTTTCTCAAAGTCACATTATGTAATTAGTTAAAGTAACATTGACATTTTTTACTTTTTTCTCATCAGGTCATACAAGAGCGGTTCTGGGGTCAACAACAGAAGAACGGAGCTGTTTCTAAAAGAGCACGAGCACCTGAGAAAGTAAGCTCACCTCAGTTTTCTTAACTTTTTAAAACAGGTTGTATTCAAAGTTTTCTTGTTTAATTTAGCTGAGCTTTACGGCTTCTTTTATTAAGTTATGTTTGTGTCTTCACTCAAGAAGTTTTTAGAAGAATAAAAACGCTGTCTTGTCAGAGACAACATTTCGTGACAAAGCAGTGATTTAGAATAACATTAAAAACAGTATTGATGGTGTTTGTTGGAGTTCTGGACTGTTTAGATCTTAATCATTACTTTCAAACATGTTGGAAATAATTTTAGACTGATTTCTAGTTTATTAACACAGCTTTGCATCTTAAAACTGTATAAAGTTAATATTTTATGACACAGGAAGTCAAATCATGATCTCCAGCACCTTCAGTGTTTCCTGCTATCATTTGGTTCAGTTTGAAGAACAGCATGTGGGATGTGAATTCTGTGTGTGAGGTGTGAGATGCACCCTGAGTGGAATGGAAAATTGAATATCAGCAGGATACCTGCAGTCCAGCTTCAACTGTAAATATGATGACACAAAAACTTAAAACCGGGCCTGACGTTTTTCCCAATAAGTGGGTGTTTTTTTTTCCTAATTAAGCTTGACCTGTAGTTTTCAGGACTACTTTAGAATAGAATATGTTTTTCCACGTCATTACATTTTCATTAAATTTGCAGGTGAATAGTGTGATTTTTAACTTTGTAAACATAAAACTACCCAGCTCTTGCTAAGTACCACAAGGCAGACATTTACACAGATACAACCACATTTTGTTATGGACACCCATGTGCTTGTGGGTAGATTGCAGTGCACTGTCACCAAACTTGGAAAGCTTTTCCATTGAACTGTATGTGGGGAGAATTTGCTAAAATCTAGGGCAATGTGCAAACGAATAAAATCTAAGGCTGAAAGACATGGCAGAAAAAAAGATTGAAGAGTATACAACTAATTCATTAACTAAATACAAATATCAATTTTTATGAATGAAGAGATAATGAGCACAACAATTTGTGTTCACAAAACAACTGACATGCAGTAACTACAGAGAGTAAACGGTGGACGCATCTCTCTGTCTGAAACATAAAGCCAATGAACAACTGCTTTAGACCTGCATTTGTATTTGCAGCATTGCCTTTTATTTTGAAATGGGTTTTAAAGCCGTGCTGTCAAATTTCGACAATACTGGAATGAATATACTAATATGCTGAGGATGAATTTCTGCTACGATCATAATAAAATTTAGCTCAGTATCAGTTAAAGTTGCAGCTTTTTGTAAGCTCCCAGCCTTATGTTAAGCTCTGATTGCTGCAAATTTTGTGCAGTTTTATTAAATCTTACTCTTACATTGATACCTTAGTAGACACTTTTTAAATGAGTTTGGGTCTGTTTTGAATAAAACAATATTTAAGTCTGGAACATTTATAGAGGTATGGAAGCTAAATCTTTTTTTCCCTTTAGAACAGGAAAACCTGGTTATCAAGAAATTGTCACTGTACGGTGCTTTATTTAATATTATGGCGCTGCTGGTTATTATACAGGTCTGCATCACTGCAATAACAGAGCAGCAGTCTGGGTAGTGGATCAGCTTATTTGTCTTTTAATGGTTGCAGCTGTGACAAGGTGTGTAAATATGTCCTGGGAGGCTTTTGTTGCCTGTGCACCTTGTTTTTGCTCATTTTTAAAAAAAAAGTTTAATCATCGTTTGTGTGTCTTAAAATAAAACCCTTATTGGCCTTAAAATCTAATGTTAATCAACAATTTATACAGTAATGTTTTACTCAAATGTTAATCTTGGTTCAAACCTTGGGAATAAAGAATGTCCACCATTTAATAAACCTCTGTTGTACTGAACGCCTTCAGGTTAGCATGAGCCACCTGGACCTCGAGCACCCACTTGTATCAAACCAGAATGACTCATTAGGAGTCTGATAATAAAATTATATTCTGAAACCAACGCCCGCACTGTGTGGTGTTTCCTAACCACTGGCAGAGGTAGGAGTATAAAGAAGGTTGAAAAAGAGGTTTGGGTTACCTTTAATTGATCCTTTTATTGCCATAAACAGTAAAGAGACCCTGAAGACTGCAGAGACAAAATATTTTTATAATCAGAGCCAAAATGTTTTGGTGAAGCCAGATAGAAACTTGATAAAGATTATTGATTTTAGTCTGCTTATTGGTTTTGCAGCTGTCATTTGACAGCTTTTTCTATAACAGAATAACCGCCAACAAGGGATTCACATTTTGTTCTGCAGGGCTGGTTTTAATGTGGATAATATAAATTATCATTATAAACTAAAAACATCTTTTATAAAAGATGGTTGTAAAATTTGATTGGTTTCTGTTTAGTTATTAAAGCTTCAAAGAACAGTTCTGATCTATTTCATCATTTTTAAATGTTTCTTCATTTTTTTTTTTTTTGTGGTTGGTCTTCATGAATAAACTAGAAGGAGTCCATTAAAAGTTCATGTTGGAGCAGCTCTAATGGTCGTGGTTGCTCTGATAAGGACTTCCTGTTAGATGGATTTTTTTTTTAATTTAGTGTGAAGTGAGCAAAAGTTGACATCTTATTGTCTGTATGTTGAACAGAGTGAAGGGTCAGTGGTCACTCGTTGGTTTATGGTCATTTAACATCTCTTTTTCTTGTCCAAATGTCCTTTTTGATGCTCATTTAGCTTTTTTCTACTTTCAGTAAGTGAAGTTGCTCACAGCAAATGTGTGTCACATAAATTTGCATAAATTTATGTGACACATAGTGTGTCACATAAATTAATGTGTCACATAAATTTGCAGTGTTAAAGTCTTTCTGATTCTGATAAATTTCAGCAGTTCTGTCTGGATTGACTTTTTTGGAGATTAATTACTGAGCATAGTGACAACTAACCCTTAAATGTATAATGCTTGTGTTTGTGGGGTCTGGATCATTTCTGACAGTGTTGTGAATATTTTAGTTTACAGAACTTCCTTGTTTAGTTCMGCCTCATAACAGTGTCATCTTCTAYATTACCTTCTAAATAAACCTGGGTTAAAGTTGGACAGCTTATTTGCTCAAACTTTATTCTGATATCCTATAAATATGTGCAAACCTCTGATGTGTTTTACCTCCGGTTTTTGTAGTCACACAGAGTTTCTTTGATGTCATTGAAGACTAATTTTTTTTTTTTTATTGTTTAACCAGATCTTTGTTGCTCAATTAAAAACTGGACCCAGCATTAAGCAGATTGTTTTGAAGCCCATTTGCTTGTGAATGAAGGGGTGGAAGAAGGAAAGAAAGCGTGTGGTTGGGATGGGTTCATTTATCACGCTGGGAGAGGCAATTAGCTGAAGCTAATGAGCAATTTAATGACTGCAGCAAAACATAACTGGTGAGGGGAATATGGAAGGAGCCGACTAAAAGCTGAAACCGCAGAATTCCCCCATATGAATAAATGTGATGGTAAATCCAGCCTCGCCCACTAGATGTGGACGGGAGGATCTTTCGCCTCATTTCATTCTTCCATGTAAAAACGTCATGAATCGTGACTCACCTCAGCTGCTAAGTGCTCCCATTTTCTCCTCAGATTCACTCTCGCACTTGCAGCTTCTTGTAGATGTGGGCTGGAAAACCTATTGAGAGATGTCCTTAATGTCTTTATGTAGAAGCAAGCAGTTCTAACACAACCCACCACTGCTTACAGTGGAGACAGATGCTCTAATCATTAAGCTTAAGAGCAGGTGCACACATGATCTCATTGATGTTTGGACAATTTATATTAACCAAATGTGACATCATGTTGAAAACAGAATGCAGCTCTTTCTGCAGCACCGTGTTGTTGAGTTTTGTCAGCAGTTGCTGACCAGTGAGTTTCTCATTGATCTCTGGTCATCTACAATATGTTTTACTTTGATCATGCAGCTTTCACGTGCAGTGAAATGACAAATTACTAATGTGTCTGCATGGTGTACATATTTATTTCCAAACTACAATTACTCACTCGTGTCTGTATCTAATTATGACCTTTGTCTCTACTTCTGAACTGTAGCTCAGACCGACTGATGGACGACACAATAAGGTAAAACCTGCTTCCTGTCTTTTTCAGTTTCTCTTCATTGACGTTTTATTTTACAGTTGAGCCCATTTATTATTTGTGAACTCCTGAGGTTTTGTCTGGTTTTAGGTTGGACCTGTGAAATCTCCATTATGTAGCAGAAATACAACTGAAAGGATGCTAAAATCTAACTGAGACCCTTGTGTGGGCAGTGTTATGCCCCAACTGGAGCAGCCAGAGTGTAACAAAAATTGGAAATTCCCAACCTCTGCACCATTCAAAACATCCACTGGGGAATGTTATAGTTGAAGAGGAGAGTGTGATTTTATTTACAGTGCTTGTGTGTTTGCAAAAGATCATATTTATCATAAACTTCAGAGTGAGTCGAGGCCAAAACAACAAACAAAACATATTCATTGTATAACTCAAACCAATATTATGACCGCAGTCCTAAATGCTGTTCTGATTATTTGTGTCGGGATGCAAATGACAAGTGTTTATGAACTTTAAAAAGGTATGTAATAAATTCATATTTTATATATTTATATTAATAGTATATTCTTGACTTTTAAAACCTGTCTATGCGTAAAACGTAGATAATACAACTGACTAAACTACCGTATTTATTCAAGTATAATATGTAAAATTAAATCCATAAAATCATCCAAAAAGTTGGGGGGTAGTACTATACTCGGATAAATATTTTTACTTATGTATTTTAACTGAAATATCGGCTTCATTCACAAAATGCCTGAGTCCGGAAATGAGACCACGACGTAAAAAGCAGTTGAAGCGAACTTACTTCTGACACTCCTTCGTGCCTCTGAGCTAGATAACAAATCCAGGCAGGCGACATAATGTGAAAAAAAGGGGGGGAAAAGTATTCCTGCACCTTTAGTAATGATAGCGAACTAATGACATTAACGTGCGACTGGGCCGCTCCTGGAACAACAACAAACACATGTTCGTCCCCAAAACGTGCAATAGGTTGCCTTCAGGCCCAGGCCTCCCTTGAAAAAGAGATCTAAGATCTCAATGGGACTTGCCTGGTAAAATAACGGTAAATAAATAAATAACTGTAATGGCTGCCGTCTACAGGTGTTCTGAAAAAGTTTGTATCCCTGAAAAAAAGTTTCCCCACCAGAGGAGGCGCTCGCGAGTAGGACGTAATCTGCTTTTCCCCCACAAGATGGCCCAAATCTCATGTGAAGTCTCTGACTTTTGTGTTGGTGCATCTTGGTGGACTATGTGTAAAGTGCCAGAATTCATATGATGCTGCTACAGCTGATATATATTTGTTGTCAAAATATCTTTTAGTACACATGTTGATAAAATAAAATGAACAGTCCAATGATCATTTTACTGATATGTAAAAAGACTGCAAAGGCTGAAAAATCTTGAAGTCTGTATAAAATTGGAGGTAGTTTGAGGATTAAATTTTTTATGCTTTTTAAGCTCAAGGGGGGGGGGGGGTCGTATTGTACATGAGATTGTATTAGACACGAATAAATACGGTAATTTATCCTACGAAAGTTTAGAAGTGTGCCTAGTTGTTGTTGTGCATTATCATCAATGCATAAAATAAAAAGCTGTAAGGGTCAGTCTTATAAAACAAGCTTTCCTGGTTTTGATGTTTAATAGTTGACAAAGATGTCAATTTCATTTAATACCAAGAAAAAATAAATAAATTAWTTAATAAATTAGATTGTGCACTTTCACCATCTTAGATTTTTAAACCACAGTAAAAAAATAATGTTTTATAAATTTTTTGGGATGTCCTTTTAAAATAAAATAAACCCAGTTTAACTCATCTATTTAAAGAGAAAATACTCCAGTTGAAGCAAATGGAGTGTTTTGTGTTAGATACATCCTTGGCTGTGATTTATGAAGATGGTTGTTCTGGCTTTTAATTTTATTTTCTAAAAATGTTTTGAATTGATTCTAAAATCAGCTCCTCGGGTTTCATCTRATCGGATTCGACGCCTCCTTATCCTCCAGCTCTGATTCTCATGAGGTGGTTACCGTGAAGCCAAAAGCCCTGAGTCAGCAGTGTTTTCCTCCTGACTGAGGAGAACATGATCCCCCCATCCCCCCAAAAAAAGAAAAAAAAAAAACAGCTCCGGGCCAATGCTGCGGACTTCACCCTCAGTGGTCTCCAACTACAGGAGAGGTCATGACCTTAACCACGCCCAGAGTTCTCCTGCTGTTCTGTAACACCAACATCTTAAATTTTAACGTTTCTTAATGTCAACAATTTTACCTCAAATTCCCACAACTTATTCATAAATTTATGCATTTTTACTAAACTTTCATATCGGAAGTAATTGGTGGTATTTTGATACTAAGAATGGCTCTTGGACACAAAGTTTCCTCAACCTTAGAGCTGAGAGGTAGGCTCAGTGTCTTTTATTGATTACTGAGTGTAAGAGATGCCGGTGTGTGTGTGTGGGTGGGACGCAGAGCCTGAAGCTTTTCCTGCCAACACCCAGCTGTACTTTCACCAAATACAGGGTCATTCAATTTCACACACACTCAAGTGCCCGCCTCCCCAAACTTAGCTATGATCACATACTGCAGGTGACCCAATAAAGATTATGAGGAGCCCCCAGTTTCTTACCTGATGTGGGTAAATATGTAGAGTTAAGAAGTAAAGTTCTGTGTATAAATAATAATAAAAACTAAAGCTCTAGTTAGCACCTCCAGCATCAGAAGTTTCATTCTGATCTCCTTCAGAAGGCCCCGCCCTCCTTCTTCTGAACTGGAATCCTCCCCGGTGGAATTGAATTTCCAATCAAATGTTGCCTCACTTGCAGTAAAAGGCACTTTAACGCTGCTCATCGGAGCCGCCACTTTAACGCTGTCTCTTTCTTCAGCATCGCCATGGCAACCAAGGAGAACATGACCTCCCAGCGGGGCATGTTGAAATCCATACAGAGCAGGGTCAACACGCTGGCCAGTATCCTTCAGAACTGTGTGCATGGTTGTGTTTGTGGGTGGGACAATCACTGGTTACATTGTTGTCTTCTTTAACTGTCCCCCCCCCTCCACCCCCTCCACCTCCAACTCAGATCGTTTTCCAACCATCAACAACCTGATCCAGCGAATCAACCTGCGAAAGAGAAGGGACTCTCTCATCCTGGGCACTGTGATCGGGGTCTGCACCATCCTCCTCCTCCTCTATGCTTTCCATTGAAAACCTGCTGAGATGAATCCTCTTAAAGACAGGCTTCACCTACTCTTCGTAGCCTTTGGACCCCCCCTCCCCTCCACTCTGGAGACCCAGCTCAGTGACTGGAGGACCCTGGAGGTTATAGGGCAGAAAGACTTTTAGTTGGTTCAGTTTTGGGGACAGGAACACGATCCTACTGAGCCTGTATTTTACCAGAGAAGCAGATTTAAGGGATGGTGGACGGGTGTTCTGCTAYCTAGAAGAAAATGAGGATTAAAAGTACTAATAGAACCAAATTATTATTATTTTTTAAAGGTTGTCGGAGGAGAAGCTCGGAAAGTGGAAGAAACTGAGACTGATGCATTTTAATTCCTGATGTTGAAGGATTTATTTTTTCTTGAATTAACAGAGGAGGCTGATAATTCATTGTGAACTGTAAAAAGTGAATTAATAAATTATTCATACCAATATGTTTTAAGAAAAAGCGTCTGACGTGACTTGCTTTTCATTTTAGTTTTAAAGTGGCCTGTCATTTCTGAGAAGGTTTTCCCTCAGGAGAGCTGCAAAATCTAGTTTTACTTCATTTGCTTAAAAGTCCAGCTAATTCCATTTCTTTTTCCCTATCAGAGAATAAATAAATAACAGGAAGGTTGTTCTTGCTCAGCTTCTTTTAAACATCGGCTTTATGTTTCGAAACGACTAAATCAATTAGTGTTTAACTGCTGAAGTAAGGCAGAAGAAAAGAAGCTTGGCCCACTCCTGAACTGAGCAGGATTGTTCAGACTCATTTATTAATGAAAGATTTCAGAATGGGGACGCTAACAGCTGACTGGTTTGGCTGACTTTTGTAAACTTTCTGTATCTTTTTAATATTTCATTTCTGGTTATAACTGAGCAATCTCTTAAAATGTGTTTTCCATTGCTGCCAGGGTTATCTCAGACCGTAGCAAAGATTCTGTTTCTGTAGATTATTCTGATTAATCAAAGACAAAGAGTTCAAATAATGTTTCAGTAAAGAAAGACCAGTAATCTTCCTGTTTCACTTTAGCCATGCCAAGTTAAAAAAAATAGTGACAGAATGAGTAAAACTGTGCATAATGCCAATTTTCTTAAATATTATTTCCCCTTTTTTTGTGTTTATTGGAAATACACAGACACTTTCATAAGTAATGAATCTAGCTTTTAACTTCATAATTAAAGTTTAAAAAATGGAGACTGATTCAGCTTTTCTTGAGAGACATTGACCCATTTATGATTGAAAGAGTTCTGAAATCAGTTCCTAGTTATTACCAGTGCTGATGTGTGGCTGTGGCTCAGCAGGGAGAGTCGGCTGTCAATCCTTGACTAGTTTGGTCCCACCCTGCTAGACTCTAAACCCAAGGCTGACCCTCAGTCTGTGGGTGTGAAAGGATAAACGTGACTGATAATGTAAAAGTGCTTCAAGTTGTCAGTAAGACAATAAAAACACTACATATTGTAAAAGCAGTATTTACCATTACTGTTTATTGAACTTTGAAAACATCTTTGCTTCATTATTTTACAAAAAGTTACTTCAACGCTTCAGATTTTTCTTCGTTATTACAAGAACAGCTAAGGTTGTAGGAAGGATAAAAATCTGAYTGGCACCTCTGTATTTCTATTATTATTGTAATGTGATGAAAAGTATATTTACTGTCATAAAAAGCATTTTTAGTAGTGGTGCAATTTTATTTACCACACAATTTCAAGTGGTCTGTAGAAGAGAGATGAAAATACACAGCGTCCTGAGTGTTTTTCACACCGTCTCCCTCTCAAAGTGCTGCATTGGTTTTTGATTTGAAGCCATTTGTGTTTGAGATGGTGAACGACTGAAAGACTTCAGCTGGATCGAAGTCTTCCATTTTTCTTTAAAGAGTTTGAAATCGAGGCAGCTGTGTGAGAAACATCAATGTTGTTTCTTCACACTCCTTTGAGGAGTTGGTTGACTGGAATCTAAATGAAATACTTTGAAGAGCTGAAGAGGATTTASCCCTTTTCTTGTCCTGTGTGTTGCACTTCATTCCACTCCTAAACAGCTTGCCTTTAAACAGAGACTGCTTTAAAAAAAAACATTTTTTTTTCTCTACCACGTGGAGCTGGGCTGGTCATGATGAATGGTGTTCAATGCAGCCAGATTGTGTATCAGGAGCTGCTGGATGTACAGGGTTATATATGCAATAAAAGCAACAGCTGCGCACTATAGAGCAATCCGATATACTGCAGCCATAACTGTCTGCAGTGCTGTTATATTGAATTTGACAAAGTGGAGTAAAATCCATCTTTCTGAGCCTGTCTCAGCTGAAAGTAAACATAAATTTAACACTTATAAATGTGTTTTATTATTTTTACATCATCTAATTCCATTCATCTCCATTCGAAGGGTGTTTAGATGTATTTTACCTATTTTCTGAAACAATTTGTGCATTTTATCAGCAGTGAGTAAACATTGTGTCATTCTGCTTCAATAAGTGATTTCACCTTTAGGATAAAATCATCAGGAAATTTATTTGCGCCTGTTTTTATTTTTGACTTGCCTAAGAATTTTTTCATTTTTTTTAAATAAACTTATGCATCCTGCACACTAAAGTAGTAAACGTAAACATACTGTCTTTTTTTAACTTGAAATGAAGGAGCCAGACTTTCTAGCAATCTTTTTGAAGTAGTTTCACCAAAAGTTTTTTGAAGTGCCTTTATCCACTAACCTACATATTTCAGGTTTTTAAACTAAACAGATATACCAGTGTTGTTCAGATGCATACCTTAGCAAATAATCAGCAGGCTATAATAACCACGCTGGGCGGTCCTAGTCCTTGTTTTCCTGCTCCAGCACACATGAATCAGTGCTTAAATTACCTCTTCAAGTTCTGCAGAAGCTTATTAATCACCTATTCATTGAAATCAGGTGCGTTGGAGCAGAGAAACAAGTAAAACATGCGGAGTAGTGGCCCTCAAAGACCTGCCTTAAGATGATGCATCTCACAGGTTTTGTGTCAGGTCTAGATTTCTTTCCTGTTTTTTTCCTTACATTCAGAAATTGTTTTTAGTCCATGCACGATATGCTCGTATGATCGGGTACAAGAACAAGACAAAGAATTGAAATCTAAAGAAAACACTGAAAAACTGTCAGAGAGCCTGAAAAACTAGAGAATTCTGCATCTGATAAAACCAGTTTTTAGATTAACGTCGAGCACGTTGATTAGATGTGCATGAAGGATACAACAAATAATTAGCTCTTCTTGTATTTCCTCCTCTATGCAAATGTTCTCGTTGGACTCGATAGACAAACTGGACAAAACGCAGACCGTGCATGGTAACATTTATTCCTGACATGCAGAAAGTACACAACAGAGATGGGAACCATCACATACAGCAGACTGGAAAAGAAACAGCACAGTATGAAGATGAAAAGTCTGAGGTGTTTTACTGACAGAACAGGGCTGAGGTTGAGCCACGGAGCAGGAGGTTGCACTCAGTTTAACATGGGGAATCTTTGGATTTGTGCTGCTTTCAGGTGGTTGAATGCAGTAATCTTTCTGCAGTTATGGTCTAATATGGTTTTCAATGAAGCACATTTTGCAGAAACCACTGGTAAAAAAAAAATTAAAATCTTTGACACTGTACAGTTTCTGACTTTAGGATCACATTAGCTGCCTCATGTCGCTGTTTTAGCTGTAAAAGCCCAACCATTAGATCTAATCAAATGGAATCCAGTTAAATGCTTTTTCCCCCATATTTTGTGCAAACGTTTTCTTGTTTGAGTTGAAATAATTAAAAAGACAGAAAAAAGCTATTAAATAATGCAACCTGTCTTTTATTGTGATATATGAGCTTTAAGCGCCCAAGTCACTTGGATCAGCAGGAAGAACTGAAAACATCGACTTCGCTCTTAAAGTGATTGATTCAGACAATTTGTCATGCTTTGATTTGAAGGAATCCTTTTTAAATGCTGTTTTATCTCGCTCAAACTCAAAGAGTTGTTCATTTACAAAAATAAGTGCACATCAGCTTGTTTGGCACTTAGCATGCGGACATATTGTGTGTACATTCTTCCATATAAATAGGTTACATGTGAATACAAGGAGTAAAACGTACATAGAAACAACAGTTTTTAACAGTCGATATATATTTATAGCAATGTAGGAATGGTAGTGATGAAAAGATGTAGAAATGTAGCGAATGTAAAAAGAAACAAAATATTAGGAAAACATGCACTTGCGATAATATTAAATATTGTGATAATGATATCCGGTGCAATAAATCTACATTTTCTTCTCCACTCTTCTTTCGTTCTGCAGTTGTGAGGCTCTCCATCAGCTGTGGGCTTCAGAGCAATCTCATGAACAATTATACTGTACTATTGATGCTCAGTCTTTGCAGTATACACAGMTGTAATAACAATGAAATATTGATACATTGTACAAACCATGAAAAAAATGGATGTAGAGATGGAAGAATGGAGATGATGCTGCATAAGAGTGTAGTCAACTCAACTTGTTTGAAGGAAAAACCTAATCTGATTTCATTTGCAGGTACAAAATTGGCTTTTTTTTCAGTCTCTGCCAGAATAAAACAAGGTTAAAATCTTGAGAGAGCCGTGGCAAATATAGACAAACCCGTTAAACCAATAAGAACAGTCCAAACGAAGGCAGGATATTTGGTTATTAACATTCAGGCATGCAGTTGGTCTCATTATTTCCAAATGATACATGACAAAAAGTAAAAACCGTGTCCCCCGCATCTTTTCACAAACCTCTGATTTTTGCACCGACGAACAAACCCAGCACCACTTGGGATACAAACCTCTTAGAAAATGTGCAGACATYATATTTATGTTTACCCTTAGTTCAAATATATATTTACTTTTACCTGTAAATGCAAGACGTTCAGTAAGGAATATATGAAGACTACATGAGGTGTAATTCAAACGCCCCCCCCCCCCCCTTTTTTTTTGTTTATGGGAGCCTCATGGCAGACAGAAAAGTCCAGCAGTCATTCTCTCCACTTCCACAAATCATTTTCATCATTTCAAAAAGTCCAAGCTCCAAAAAGAGAACTGAATATTTTAGAGCCCCTTCGTGCAAATCTACATTTTCCTCTGTTTAAACAATTTACATCTGGATMTTTTGTCAGGCAAATGTTTCTGGATTTTAATGCATGCATCTTTCAGTGATAATACGTGTAAATAATTATGTGTTTACTTGTTGCAAGACCATCCTTTATGACTTGGCTGCTTTATTTTTTGCTATCTGAAGTTTGGTCAGGATGTAGTCGCGTCATCAGTTGTACTTTGTTTTTATTTGAACTGTCTTTTTTTCTTTGTTGCATCTGTGGTTTGGCTTTAAGGTTGCACGTGTTTTCCCCTCTGTCGGCTCCTCCGGGTCAATGAGCTGAAAGAGAGGAAAAGAAAAATGCCGTCAGAAGCTCCTGAGATGTATTATTCAGACGCGTGTTGTCAAAAGGCTGTTTGTACTTGATAGGTGGACTGAGGTGTAGATGATGATGATGAGCAGTCCCAAGATGATGGAGACCACACTGAGCAGACGAGCCAGTCGACCCAGCCTCCGGGCCCCGTCCACGTCCCCGTTCTGAAGACTGTGTCTGGACTGGAAACGCACACACAAAACAAAAGTTTAAAATGTGATTCAACTTTAAGTAGTTAGAGCTCAAACTCAAGATCGGTGGGCCAAATCTGGCCCTCATTAACATTTTATTCGGCCCCAAAGATAATATTTTAAACATGAAATAGTTTTGTTCTTCTCATGACAACCGTCCAACTTTCAAACCAAATGAATTAAGTTTGAATTTTGCAGTAATCATTAATTTTTGGTGTGGAAAGAGCAAGAGAAAAATCAACTTTACTTACTTTACCTGTATTCTCTTCCTATTTTAAAGTCAGCATATAGAATTTTTAGTGAGTTTTCTTTTTTTACCTGATTTGCTGGGTTGTAATAAAACGTATCTCTAAGAACTAATAAATAAAAAGTTATTGATGTAGTGTAACCTAATCATTTTTCTTCATTAGGGTTKTAAGTTCTAAATGCTAAATTAGAAACAGTTTGGAAAAGATCATTTGTATTTCTACAAGAATAATTTTTTTCAAGAAAATTTGACAGAAGACTGGCCCATGACTTGGACCAAGTTTCTAATTTTGGAGTTTGACACCCCATGAGTTTATTATTATTTATTATTATAAAACTACTGTAGCATTCCTTGGATGTATGCCAGTACGTTCTGGCAGTTTCACATAAAGTGATCCAGCAGTTCCTGAGCTTCAGTATTTTACTAACAGATGTACACATACAGGTGGAAACATGATTGCCTTTTCGGTCAATAAAGGACTCAAAACCCTAAAAATTGTTCTGTTTAAAGTCTAAACATCAGTTATCGTGGAAATATACACTCACCGGCCACTTTATTAGGTACACCTGCCCAACTGCTCGTTAACACTTAATTTCTAATCAGCCAATCACATGGCGGCAACTCAGTGCATTTAGGCATGTAGACATGGTCAAGACAATCT